CTGTGTATCTTTTTGTATTACTTCCTGTCTTTATATAATAATCCAAAAATAGCCCGTGAAATTGATCCATGTTAATGTCGTGTTCTGTTCTGCAAGTGATTATGTAAAACTTATTGTGGGGTTTATTGTGTCTTACTAACTGCATATCAAATTCATTTAATTTATGAGTTAAATTATTGTTTTTCCTAGCTCCCAGCTGTGTGAACTCAAGGGCCTGAAATTCAAGCTGGGTTCTCACCGTTAGTACCAGAAATTCTGAAGGCCAAATTCTATAACTTGTTAAACTAATGCAACCCAACTCTGCTTTTGTGGAAATAGGAATTTGCAGAAGGGGTCATAAACATGATAAAAAAGCTTGACATTAGAAGCCCAGATTGCATTTAATAGACTGACGGATTTAAATAATAAGCCAAATCACTTTTTAATTATAAATAAAACAAACTTGGTAAGGATTCACAAGTCTCAATAAATCTGATGCCCCAGCAGTATGATCATTTTTATTGGTAAAGTATCATTTTGACTCTGATCCATCTATCTGGAGAAAGGGCAATGAGCTGTTGGTTCAGTCAGTCTAGTTCAGAGTCCACTGTCTACTTCAGAGGAAGAAGTGTATTTTGTAGTTGTAACAGGTTCAATTCACTGCCATCGTGTTTCCCACTGATCAATCAGGAAATTAGCTCTTGCCAGTACCAGTATGACCTTTTCTGGCAATGTGGTGTCTGCAGTTAGCTGCCCTTTGTATCTCCACCATGCCAGGACCTAAATCCTTCCCAGACTGTGGCACCCCCTTTCCCTGGGTACTGCCTGTGACAGTACCCATTTTCTTTAGCGTCTCCCCACACAAGGAACCCAGTTACCCCTAAGCCCACCCATAGGGTTCCCCATGCTTTATGAATATATGCATAACTCAAAGACACTTTAGGCAAAATGCATCATTTGACATACGTTTTTTAAAGTTATAGTCTGCTGAATGTGTATAGTTTATTTCTGTATATGTATCCCTTCGTATATAAAATTGGAATTATGAAGTTAATTTGTTAATAATTATAAATGTGCTAATGAGAGCCATTAGTGATACTACAGAAGCATAATGGCATAGTACTCAAACCAAAAATCTGCAAATGGCTTTGTTTTTCCTGTAAGCCCAAACTGTGTTTGGTTCAACAAATACATGTGGCCATGACACCTGGTGTTGGAATCCATCTTGAATTTGGTATTTTTCCATGGGGATAGAGAGGGAAAACAAAGGATTCCTGCCCTTGGGAAATTCTATTTAAGGGATGGGTAGCAATCAACAGTTGTCTTCAGCTTGTCATTGAAATTGCCTCCCCACAAGGAAGAAACCTGAAAATAAAGATCGCTAAGAACTTTTAAGAACCCAAAATATATAACAGAAGAAGGGAGGTGGGGATGAGAAAAAGATCAACCTTCTTGGAGGATTTTTCCTGAAGTAAGAACTAGGGTGAGAATTACGAGTTGAAATAATTTGTCTTACTGTATTAGGATTAGCCAGTGTGTTTTGTGTATTTTGATTTATTAACTTGCTTTGGTCTGTCTGTTTTCACTTGCAGTTGCTTAAATCCTACGTTTATACTCAATAAAAACACTCATTTATTATCAAGCCCAGTGTAAATTTGAATTTGGTATCAACGATTTAGATATTGGCATAGAGAGTACACTTATTAAGTTTGCGGATGATACCAAGCTTTGGAGGATAGTGTCACGATTCAAAATGATCTGGACAAATTGGAAAAATGGTCTGAGATAAACACGATGAAGTTTAATAAGGACAAATGCAAAGTACTCCACTTAGGAAGGAACAGTCAGTTTCACACATACAGAATGGGAAGCGACTGTGTAGGAAGGACTACGGCAAAAAGAGATCTAGGGGTTATAGTGGACCACAAGTTGAATATGAGTCAGTAGTGTGATGCCGTTGCAAAGAAAGCAAACATAATTAAGGGATGTATTAACAGGTGTGTTGTGACCAGTTTATTTCTGTATATGTATCCCTTCGTATATAAAATTGGAATTATGAAGTTAATTTGTTAATAATTATAAATGTGCTAATGAGAGCCATTAGTGATACTACAGAAGCATAATGGCATAGTACTCAAACCAAAAATCTGCAAATGGCTTTGTTTTTCCTGTAAGCCCAAACTGTGTTTGGTTCAACAAATACATGTGGCCATGACACCTGGTGTTGGAATCCATCTTGAATTTGGTATTTTTCCATGGGGATAGAGAGGGAAAACAAAGGATTCCTGCCCTTGGGAAATTCTATTTAAGGGATGGGTAGCAATCAACAGTTGTCTTCAGCTTGTCATTGAAATTGCCTCCCCACAAGGAAGAAACCTGAAAATAAAGATCGCTAAGAACTTTTAAGAACCCAAAATATATAACAGAAGAAGGGAGGTGGGGATGAGAAAAAGATCAACCTTCTTGGAGGATTTTTCCTGAAGTAAGAACTAGGGTGAGAATTACGAGTTGAAATAATTTGTCTTACTGTATTAGGATTAGCCAGTGTGTTTTGTGTATTTTGATTTATTAACTTGCTTTGGTCTGTCTGTTTTCACTTGCAGTTGCTTAAATCCTACGTTTATACTCAATAAAAACACTCATTTATTATCAAGCCCAGTGTAAATTTGAATTTGGTATCAACGATTTAGATATTGGCATAGAGAGTACACTTATTAAGTTTGCGGATGATACCAAGCTTTGGAGGATAGTGTCACGATTCAAAATGATCTGGACAAATTGGAAAAATGGTCTGAGATAAACACGATGAAGTTTAATAAGGACAAATGCAAAGTACTCCACTTAGGAAGGAACAGTCAGTTTCACACATACAGAATGGGAAGCGACTGTGTAGGAAGGACTACGGCAAAAAGAGATCTAGGGGTTATAGTGGACCACAAGTTGAATATGAGTCAGTAGTGTGATGCCGTTGCAAAGAAAGCAAACATAATTAAGGGATGTATTAACAGGTGTGTTGTGACCAAGACATGAGAAGTCATTCTTCCACTCTACTCTGTGCTGATTAGGCCTCAATTGGAGTACTGTGTCCAGTTCTGAGCACCACATTTCAAGAAAGATGTGGAGAAACTGGAAAAGGTCCAGAGAAGAGCAACAAGAATGATTATAGGTCTAGAGAACATGACCTATGCAGGAAGACTGAAAGAACTGGGCTTGTTTAGTTTGGAAAAGAGAAGACTGAGAGGGGACAGTATAGCGGTTTTCAGGTATCTAAAAGGGTGTCACAAGGAGGAGGGAGAAAAATTGTTCTCCTTGGCCTCTGAGGATAGAACAAGAAGCAATGGGCTCAAACTGCAGTAAGGGAGGTTTAGGTTGGACATTAGAAAAAACTTCCTAACTGTCAGGGTGGTTAAACACTGGAATAAGTTGCCTAGGGAGGCTGTGGAATCTCCATCCCTGGAGATATTTAAGAGCAGGTTAGATAAATGTCTATCAAGCATGGTCTAGACAGTACTGAGTTCTGCCATGAAGGCAGGGGACTGGACTCAATGACCTCTTGAGATCAGTTTCAGTGCTAGTATTCTATTATTCTAAATAATTGTTACCTGGGAGTGAGCAACCACAGTGTATATATTTTCCAATTGATAAAGGGGGCTAAACTTATGAGCTTTCTCTGTTTAAAACTTTCTTACTGAATAAGGCAGATTTATTTGGGGGTTTGGTTCGTTTTGCGGGTTGTGTTCCTGGGTGCACAATAGCCCTCCAACTGAACCTTCCCAGAGCTGAGCTGGTTCAACATCTGTGCTGGTCTGCTGGGGGGTTGTTACCCTAACTTTGTGTCTTGGCTGGGAGAGACCAGAGCTTCTGGCCCAGCTAGAGAGGGTGGTGGGGTGCCCCAGAGGGCAGATAAGCAGACTCAATGGCATGATCAGCATACCAGGTGACCATCACAAGGGAATGGAACCCATCACACCCACCACTTGTCTCATTGACCCATTCCCATTCTTCACCTAGCCCCTATCTCAGTGCAAACTGCAGTCTGCACTAGCGACTCATCATTAGTGGGGAGCCGGGGGATGCACCTGCTGCCTATTCCTACCCTGCCTGCCCTTCTGCAGCCCAGGATACCTACTCAGGCCTCTTATCAGGTCCTTAGTTTGGTAGCTGGTCAGGCCAGTGCTCTCCTGGTCCCCCCCGACCCTTCCCCAATACTGCTCTATC